AGGTCTTGGGGCAATGGGCTTGTTTGAAATGAAATCCTTTTATTTGAAAGAGCAAATAGAGGTTTTTTTGGCCAAAATTTGACAAGGTAGAGCTGTTGAGAGTGTTGAATCATTTGGTGCGATTTGATTGGTTAAGATATACTTAGATCAAGGTGATTTAAAGGATGAATGTATTAGACAACATGATAACTCGAATTTGAATCTTGTTTGATGAAGGACAAATGGAGGATTTTTTAGGCTAGAATTTATTTGCTAACTATCAAATGGGTATAGAGTTGGGTCAAAGGTATATATATATCCGGGACTTAAAAGGTTAACAAATGAAATAGGCTAAAAGGAAATCTAGGTTTGATGATGAAAAGTGGAACTTTATGGATAAGTGTTTATAGATGTCTAGGACATGACATAAAAGACAGATTTTCAATTGGGTATATAGGAAGAGGGATCTGAATATCTAAAACTCAAAAGTATTCCAAGCTGGGATTGGCCAATTAGAGGCCTAGGGATGGAACCTGAGTTAATTTAGGGATCAAATGGGTAAGTTTTTGTGTGAAAATTGAAAAGATGGTAATCATACTTTTGATTCATGGATGAAGAATGATGTTCGGAATGTTCTTCATTCTTTAGATAATTTTTTATAAAATCGAAGTATCAAACCACATAAAATCAGACTAATACGTATAGCTGTAAAATGGGTCGTACCTGTGCAAATTGCAAGTCGTGCTGGACCTGGCCCATGTGCAATCCGCACAAAGTGTCGATTGTGCTAGGCTGGCATGGCACGACCTGAGTGCCTCCCTCCCTTGGGATATTTTGGGGGCTCGGCCCGAGATGGCCCATAGCCTGTGTGCCGTCATGGGTCATGCCTCCCTCCTTTGGAATATTTTGGGGGGTTGGCCAGCACGGCCCAAGCCTGTGCAGGCTCGTGCCATGCCACCGGTCTAGGTTGGGTGGGCTGCATGTCGTGCCATGGACTTGGGTCGGGCCTTGGGTCAATGCCGAATTGGGCCAAAAAGGCCCAGGCTTTTTTTTGTTGTTTTTTGACATTTTGATTTTTTTTAATTTTTTTCTAAGTAAAACTAAAATGCTTTTTCCTTTGGAAACAAATTGAAAAAAAAAATCTAATAAAGAAATGAAAAAAATACTTACCAAAATACAAAATGGACAACAAATTGGAGAAAATTAAAAATTTTATTTCATTTAAAATATAAAAAAAATTACAAATTGAAAATAAAAATTACATTATGGAAAAAATAACAAATAATTTAAATAAAATTGAAGAAACTACTCTGTCTCCTTAACTTCAATCACCTGCTTCATCAGGTGTAGTAGTATCATGCCCTTCTTTGTCTTGTAATTTATTCTCAGCATCCAGCAAATATTTAAAGTATATGTCTTTTTCTTGTTTCTCATGGAAGAGCAAATGTCTACCTAAGTGGCCAGTACCCCCCTTGCTACTGAAGTTAAAGTCAATCCTACATTTTTGACAAACGACTCTTTTTCCCTTCCCCTCAACCTCCTCTATTTAAATACTTTTCAAATCAGGCTAGTGAACTTATTGTTGGGGAATTGGTTTCGGGAAGAGGAGCTGGCCATTTTTTTAATTCTAAAAAATAAAAGTTAATTTAATTGCACTTACCCAGATGGCTGGATTACCATTTTCAGAATCTCAACTTGATTTCAACGGTTAAAGCCTCAAAGACCAAAGCCTCCTAAATTGCTAAGTATATGACACTATGACAGTATGGGATGAGAGACTAAGAGACTGAGAGAGTATGAGATAATGAAAATAATTGAAAAGAGAATTCAGAATTGTTGAATTGATGTGATGATAATGGTGGAGGATAGGGCTATTTATAGGAATTGAAAATAATTCAATTACCCAAAATAACCCAAAAACTAGTCATTTTTTAATTGTTGTGAGGGGTATTTTAGTTTTTATAAAGTCATTTATCACTTTACTCAAATGCCCCTAAAGTCGCAAACTAGTTGTTATATTCTGTTGGAGGGGCATTATTATCTTTTTCTCCCCCCAAAGAAAATATACATAAATACCCCCCCTATATAGCTATTTATAGGTTTATAGTTGTTGATTGAGGGGGTATTTCTATAAAAAACTCCTAAAAAAGCTGAAACTATCCGTTTGGAGGGTCCCCCAAGGACCCCAAAGACTAGTTTTCTTGGATGGACTGCAATCAGTTTATTGCGAGCCCACAAGCCGGGTCGTTCTGTGCCATGCCGTGGGCTGGGCCATACCATTTTAAACTTCATAGAAAAATATAAAATATATACAAAATCAATTAACGGTTGTTAATATATTACCATTTTAATATTTAGACACGAAAAAAGGAAAAAGTTCAAAAAAAAGTATTCTCAAATACAAAATACATAAAAACATAGAAATTACAAAAAATATAAAAATTTATAGAAATCTCAAACAAAATAAAAATTATTTTCAAATTATAGAGACTATAGAAATTGAAAAACAAAATCAGAAAATAAAAATTGTAGAAAAAACACCAAAAATTATAGAAAATTAAAAAAAAAACACCGGAAAAAAAAATACATTTTTCCAATGTATAAAAGTAACAAAAATACAGGAAAATTTATAGATTGTAGAAAATAGAAAAATGTAAAAAAATAGAAATTATAAAAAACATTGGAAATTATAACAAAACACTAAAAATGCAAAAAAAAAATTGAAAACTGAAAAAGACCATTTTTTCCTCTAACTCACCATTCAAGGGTAATTTGGTCATGAGAATTGTTATTTATGTTGACATGAACACTTCGTTAAGAAGCATTAACGGTGTACTAACGGAAGGTGAGGTTTAGAAAATAAAAACTTACTAACATAGTGAGTTTTAGACATTTTGAAAAGTTGTGATTTTAAGATAAATATTGAAAACTCATGGTGAATTTTAGACAATATCCCTAAAACAAATAACTAGTAAAAATAGCACCCAACAATCTCCGAAAGAAGCAACTAGTTCAATCACCACAAAATAGAGCAATCAGTGGATCATACTAAATTAAACTAAAATTTCACATGTTCTAACTTCTAAGAAGAATAGATTATTGGAGTTATATTGGCTGATTTCTGACCAAACATACAAATGAGGTGCAATTGAGAATTATAGGACAATCAAACATGTGATATTTATAAAACAATCCGCCATTAACAAGACGAACTTATTTTTGTTATACTGAGAAAATTAAACCGAAGATAGAAGTAAATTGAGCTCTGGTAATCAAGATTGTTGATAAATGAGCTCTTGCCAACATTTGGATATATCCACAAATCAAGATTGTTCGTCAATTGAAGGTAGCCTTGCCATGTGTTGTCTTTTCTGCTCTAGGTACGTAGGCCAAGCTAGGACCGATACGATACGTTTGATCACCGTAAGTGCAGCAACCTTCAGAACGGTTTTCAATTAATTTGCATCCGGTTCCGGGTGGGGTCCAACTGTTTTCAATTAATTTGATTTTTCATTTTTTTAAAGCAACCTGTGAATCATTTTTCTTGAGTCGAACGGTATTCCGGTTCAACCGTTAGGAACAGTGCCTCAGTGGTTTTGTCTTTTGTAACCAATCGGGCTGAACAGTTCAACCACCCGGATTAATGACATTTCTAAAACCGTGTCATGCCGCAAGTGTCAAGTGACCCGCATGTAAAAGAGCAGCCCAACCCACCCTGTCCACAAATAAATGTGCAGATTGGGTCAAGTGTTGCCAACCACCTCACATAGGAGTGTAATATTCAGCTCAAGATCGGTTCGATAGATTTGCTACCCACCCCACGAAGACATTCGGGAGTGTGGATCTGCTCTTGCTCTTCACACCGACTTACAGTATGTCTTGCCCGTACATCCAGAACATTTCCTGTACTTCTATTTATTATTCATGTGAAGATATTGTTAATGAATGTGGCTGCGAAGTCGGTGTAAGGCATGTTCTGTAAGAAGCAGATCCCAATTATTCCGGGAACAGAGGACCACATAAGCTACAAATAAGCAAAACTGGACTCACTTCAATGTGTGGTGGAACTGTACGAAGGTGAATTTGTATTTTGTAAGGCTTGCAAGCAAAGAACTTTGTTTTTCTTTCAACGTAAAATACTAAAACTATGAAAAATTTTCAGTGAATTTGTATTTTGAGGGGTTTTAAGCGGTAGAGTAAATGTCATTGTTTTATTCTCAGGACAGGACCGGTGGGAATAAAGGATTCTGTTAGAGCTGAAATGCTTGCTGCTTTGCAAAGTTCAAATTCCAAGGAGCTCATCTTAGAAAACTTGTTGATCGAAGGAGAATCTAAGTTGTAGTGGGGTGGCTGAATAATCTGGAGTCTGTTATGTGGTGTTACCAATGTTTTCAAACAGTTGTTGACTCGGACAGTCAGACCATTTGGCCCGGAAATTATCCAGGCAACCAGTTCCATTTTACCTCAAACCCGATCAAACCCGATCGCTGGTTAAAAACTATTAAATTGATCAATGACCTGTTGGCCCGGGCAGTCAAACCATTGACCCATTCAATAGGTTTTGGCCATTTTTTTTATTTTAATTATTCTTTTAGTTTTTAATTTTTTTTGCCAGAACAAGCCATCCATTCAAATCAGATGATCGAATTGTCAACCCAAAAACCAGTGGCCAGAATGGTTCTGATTCCAGGTCGATTTTTAAAACATTGGGTGCTACAGAAATTAAATCAAGAAATCCAATGGTTAACAAGAAATTTGAACGTGATAGTAGATAGAGTCAGGAGATCAACAAATGCAATCGCTGATTATCTTCAAGGGATTTTTGTAATGCCTAAAGTTTATTATTAATATTAATAGTTTTTAACTTGTCAAAAGAATCCAACCTAGATTTTAAAATCAGGTTGAAAATTAAAAGCAGTTCCGCATAGTTTTCCTTCTTCAGATGCTTGTAAAGAAAAAGGCAACAAGATTTCATTTGCATGGTTCATTGCCTTTGTAGCAAGTGGCATGTACTGTTGATGTGTTAACAACATGATCTTCAAATTCTCTGATTCAATAATTAAAAAAAAAAAGCCCAAGACTGATTACAATACAATGTGCTGAGAAAAAAAACTTTTCGTTTCAACAATGACTCAAATATGATACAAATGACCTCCCAATAACCATAAATACAAGGAAATCAATGTTACCTAACCTGTATCACAAAATCTTCATCGGGAGACCGAGGCCAGACCCAGCAACTGCCAATTGATTGCTAATACCTATGCATATTTGGTCCAACCTGATCATGGTAAACATTATATTCATCTCTTGAAGGCATTCTAGATTTCATACTTGTTTGCAGTCCTGAAAACCCTTCACTAGAGCCAGTTTGCGTTCTCGACATAGGCTGCAATGTTGGAAATCCTTGACGATAGCCAGTTGGCATTCTCAACATAGGTTGAAGTACTGAAAATCCATCACTAGAGCCAGATGGCATTCTCGGCATTGGTTGCAGTTCTGGAAACCCATCACTGGAGCCAACTCGCATTCTCGACAGAGGTTGCAGTCCTGTAAATCCATCACTAGAGCCAGCTGGCATTCTCAGAAGTGGTTGCAGTCCCAGAAGTCCATCAATAGAGGTAGTTGGCATTCTTGGCACTAAATCTGCATAGGAAGGATAGGTGTATCTACTTAAAGCAGGTAGACCAATTCGTGCATTCAAGTAGGGATCAACATATGGCTTCTGAGTAGAAATTCTAGTTGCAGTGTCCAGTTGAGGTCTGGAAGTGTATCGATTGGCCTCAGCAGGTCCAACTCGCATATTGGGATTGGGATAATAACCTGCCAAACTTAACACAGAAGCAGAATAAGACCCCAATGAATTGGCATGAAGATGAGTAGTTTCAACTTGGAAATCAGTTGGTACCCTGAATAGACCAGCACATCCAACAGGAATCTCCATGGTATCACCAGCCTTAATATCTGGAACAGTGGTTTCTGGCATTCTTACCATATCCACCACTTCGTTTGATAATGGCAATTTATCAAGCTTCTCTTTTAGCGATAACTTGGCACATTGAAGTGCTTCCAACACACTCTCCAAGCCATTGGTTGTTTCATGCACAATCACCGCATGGGAATTGTTTTGGCTGTATAGTAGTTCTCGTTCGGAAAAATTCCCACCCATAGGAGAAGATTTCTGTGCCAATTGATGATTAGGGAGCCCAGATGGAGGAGGAAGAGAGTTATTCTGAGACCAATCTTGCTCCTGCTTCTTAGAGTCAACTTCTAGTTTCTCTTGGCATGAAAAAGAGAAAATAGCTGGGAGTTCGTTACCAGATGTACTTTTGCTATTGCTGGACTGTTGATCCAACAGGCATCCCATATCATCATTCCTATAGGGAAGGAAGGCACTGGGAGCTTGGGCTTCTACTTGATCATTGCAACAGACATCTTCTGCTTCTGACTTTGCACCTTGGCCATGAGAAGGGACCATGTCACCAGGATCTGTCATTTCTGCCCTGATATCATCCCTTTTTTCAGTGATGTCTGACCGATTCCCAGGTTCACACAAACCCTTCATGGTTCACAAACAAGAAACAAAGACTTAATTTCAAGTACAACAAGAACACAATATCCAAACATAACCAAGCATTCCGTATTGTAAGGATGCAAGTGATTGAAGTAAACAGAAAAAGAAAGGAGATAAATCATAGGATTTTTTATCAAGTGGGACAACACATGTGAAGATAGCTTTCTGTTTGCAAATAAAGGTCAATATGCAAGTCTAGATCATCCAGTAAATAGAATGCCCTGTCAATTTCCAAATGAAAAAAAAAAAGGAGAAAGAAAGAAAGAAAGAAATCAAGGCATCAAAAGCTAGTTACAGAAAAATTTTAAGTCAAACTGATCAGTATCCCAAATCCCATGAAGGATCAGCACTGGAGTTCCATAATTATTGGTAACAAAGCAACCTATTCTCTAACAATGGTGTTGAAGTACTTGGCCTGCTCTTTTGGATGTGGATATCACAAACATTACCGAGTATTGATCAAGCTTTTTTTTAACCATGTAATTTGAAGATAAAAGGTGTGAGTAGGTGACCATGTATTTCCAACAAAATGCAATACACCTTTTATGCTTTGCAACATAGCAGGGGTTTGCTGAGTTTTGTAGAATTGAAGGTATATAAATGTTATGCAATTTTAAAATGTGCATATGAAGAATACCAGAGTACAACTGTAATTTTCTTTGAACCTTTCCTCCCATTCTCTCTGAGCCTTTTCTTCTGCCTCATATTGACCTATGAGCTGGGCCTGCTGCTCTAATGCTCTTTCCATATCTGCATCTTGCCCGCTTCCATTAACATAAAGGCCAATTTTACCCACTTTCTCTTCCTTGTCTCTAGGACCTTTCAAGGTCTCAGGCCCATCTTTGAAGCATCTGTCAGCTCCATTTTCTTGAGCATCAAGCAGGAGAGGCCCATTGTTTACCTCATCTGCTGCAGATCTGACAACATAAACAAAAGGCAGAAAGATTTTATATATGAATATGGTGGTAATGAATCCAATGATTTTCTTTTATGTCTTTATATGTGTTGAGAATGCATCCAAGGTGTCTTGGAAAACAATAAACCACAATGAGAAATTCTTGGTTACTCTTGAAGTGGACACAGAACATCCTACAACATATGGCACATTTGCAAGCAGAGGATACCAACACCACTCAATAGGTTCAAACTGAGAGGTATTCAATTGCAATGACAAATTTTCCATACCAAATTAACCATTTTCATCAGTTTATATATCCTAGTGTTATAAATGTGGTAGGATACCAGTGTTATTCAAATTCGATTCCAAAATTTTCCTATACCTGATCAATGTTTTAAAAGTGCAAGGTGCAAGAAAAAAGTGCAAAGGGCTTTTTGTGCCCCAGGAACAAGGTGCAAGAAAAAAGTGCAAAGGGCTTTTCGAAGCATGGTGCAAATTTTTAAAAAATTCAAAAAAAAATCCAAAAAAAATACAAAAAAATGTAAATTTTCAAAATAAATCAAGAAAAAATATAAATAGTATTAATTAAAAATGCAAATATTAATTTTAAACTAAATGTTTCAAAATATTATTAGCTCAAATTAAAATACATAAACATAACATATAAAGCATATTTAAAGTGAAAATGCAAATATAAAATAGCACAACATATAAAACATATTCAAGCACTATAAATAACACATATAAAAAATATATAACACATAACTTTCAAACTCTTTATTACTTTCCCAATCACATCATATCAAAAAGCTAATGTGACGTTAAATATCTTTCATTCCTAATTTCACGAGCTGCCTTTGTACCAAGCCCCTTAAGGCAAGCCCAAACAAGTCCATGTTAGGGTCTTAAATTCTTAATTCGTACGAAAAAAGGTTTTATAAATTTAATTATAATTCAATATCTTTAAAAAAAATGACTTGTATAAAAAAAAAGTGAATGAACAACATTAGCAAAAAGGAGTTGAGTAGAGGCATTCACCTTTTCAAAGGGGTTGTGCCTAGGACTAGGCAAGACACAAACCTTGAAATGCACCTCATCTGTGCATCTAGGCATGCCTTTTATTTATTTATTTATTTATTTATTTATTTATTTATTTATTTATTTTCGAAGATAAAAGAGTTAAAGTACTCAAGAAGAAGAAGAAGAAGAGGAGGGCCCTTGAATAGGCGCCCAAATACAAATGGGCCCTGAAGAATGCCTTTTCTTAACATTTGAAAAAAAAACTACAAATGAGCCCTTGAATAGGTGCCCAAATACAAAAAACATGAAAGGACATAAATGCCCTTACACTCTCAACACTCCCCCTCAAGCTGAGCATAAATATTTGTCATGCCCAGCTTGTTCAGATTATTGTCAAGCTTTGATTTTGAGACACCTTAATAAGACAATCGGCCAATTGATCTTCAGACCTCACAAAAGGTAAACAAATCTCTCCACTAGAAGCCCTTTCTCTAATGAAATGTCGATCAACCTCTATATGCTTTGTACGATCATGTTGAACAAGATTGTGGACTATGTTTATGGCTGCTTGATTGTCACAATATAAAATCATTGGAGTATCAATCTGCACTCCCATTTCTGTCAACAAGTTCTTCAGCCATAACAATTCGAAAACTCCATGAGCCATAGCTCTCTGCACTCTGCCTCTGCACTAGATTGAGCCACAACTGATTGTTTCTACTTCTCCAAGATACAACATTACCACCACCAAGGTACAATAGCCAGAAGTAGACTGCCTATCATCAATAAAACCTGCCCAGTCAGCGTCAGAATAAGCCTCTACCTTGAGATGCCCATGATTAGAATACAACATCCCTTTTCCTAGACATCCTTTTAAATAGGCAAGTATTCTATTCACTGCTTGCATATGAGATGATCTAGGCCTGTGCATATATTGGCTAACCACACTCACAGCATATGATATATCTGGTCTAGTCAAACACAAGTAAAGAAGGCGACCGACAAGTCTTTGATACATAGCTTTGTCAAGAAAGACATCTCCATCGTCAACTCCCAACTAATGATTAGGATCAATTGGAGTTTCAGCTGGTTTACAATCCAATTTCCCTACTTCCTAAAGTAGATCAAGGACATATTTCCTTTGAGAAATATAAATGCCCCTCTTTGACCTTGCGACCTCAATCCCTAGGAAATGCCGAAGATTTCCAAGATCTTTAATTTCAAATTCAGTAACAAGAAAAGACTTATGTTCAGCAATTCCAGAGATATCATCCCCTATGATAATGTAGAAATACTTAGTAGCCACGAGTGTGAGGTTCCATACCCACACTTGGTTATTTTAATTCGTTTTAAGTTGGGTCGGCTGGCCTTATCCTATCTTTCTTTTTTTTATCTCCTATTCTTGTAAGGAAACTAAACCATATAATGAAATTTATGGGGTGGCAGAATCATCAACCGATCCCCTTTCTCCTCTCTTCTCCTCTCTCCCTCTTCCCTTCTCTCTTCGAAGCCTAGTTCTCTTCTTTCCTTGCAGTAAGACAGAAATCTACTAGTTTTCTTCAAGTTGGTATCAGAGCGATTGGCGAGAAAAACTAGGGTTTCCATGTAAGCCTGATCTGGTCGGCTACATGAAAATCCATTAGATCAAGACCTCTGCAGCAGCTGCCTGGTTCTTGGAGGCTACTGGAGTACTGTAGACTGCCCAAGAAGGTGAAAGATTTAACCAGGAAGAATCAGAGATCAAATTCGATCAAGGTAGGGTTTCAAACCAAAGAGGACGATCAGAATTCTTTTTTTCTGAGAAAGAGTTCAGATTCGATCAAGGTTAAGGTTTCAAACCAAAGAAGATGATCAGAGTTCCTTTTACTGAGAAAGGTACAACCTTTAAGCAGCATAATAAATCTGAGATCACCTTGCTGTTTTTAAAGAATCAAGACCTGTTCTTTGCTGATCTTGACCTAGGGTTCTGGTGTTTTGATTAAAGTTACAGTTCTGGTTCTTATCCTTTGCTGAAATCAGTTTCTGGACTGTTATTCTCTGGTGTTTTGATTAATGTTACAGTTTTGAGAAGGAACTGTCACTGAAATTAAGTTCTGGTTCTTATTCTTTGCTGAGATCAGTTTCTGGATTGTTGTTCGTTGTTTTCTTGGTATTTCAGTAGAAAACTAGTTTTCTTTAGTCTTCTTGTTGGAGTTTTGCGACCTATTTAGTTTGAAAAAGGTTGGAAGTGAGATGAAAACTCAAGGGGAAGGTTTTGGGACTGGTAACATGACTGAAAATTCATTCCAGATTACCACTGTTAGGTTTGATGGAACAAATTACTTGGAATGGGCCCAATCGGCAATGATGGCCATTGGGGGTAGAGGAAAATTAGGGTACGTGACTAGAGACAAAGAAACCAGCCAAGGAGGATACATCTCATTCAAGATGGGTTCAAGAGAACTACTTGGTGATAACTTGGCTATGCAACTCTATGCAGGCCCACATCAGCCGAAACTACCTTTGGGCAAAAACAGCCAAGGAAATCTGGGACAGCATGAAGGAGACTTATTCTCAACCTCTTAATGTGGCTAGAGCTTATGAACTAAAGTGTGAAGTAAACAACCTCAAACAAGGGGAAAAGCCAGTCTCAGTGTATTTTGCTACTCTGAAATCTCTTTGGCATAAAATTGATCACTTGGAAACTATTGAATGGGAAAGCCAGAGGGATGCAGAAACATATAGAAAACTGATTGAAACAAATAGAGTTTTTGAGTTCCTAGCCAGTCTAATCTCAGATTTTGATATTACAAGACAGCAACTTCTCACTAGGGAGAGTGTGACTCTATCTCAGGCCTATTCATTAGTCCACAGTGAAGAGAGTAGGAGGAAGGTGATGCTATCTTTTCAGCCCACAGAAGCAGATATTTTTTGTGATCATTGCAAGAAGCCCAAACACACTGGGGATACCTGTTGGAAGTTGCATTCTCACCTAATGCCAACTAGACTTAGAAGCAAGAAGGGGAGTGCTAATGTAGCAACTACTACTGACAATGCATCTTCTTCCAGCACAAGGACCACATCTTTGGATGCCTTAGCAGTTGTCCAGGCTGTACTGACACAACTAGAGAATGAAGCTGGTATTTCTGGATCTACATCTTAGTCTTCAACTACCACACCTGCTCATCCTACTTCAACCCTTGCTCATACAGGTACAAGAGAGATATTTTTTGTGATCATTGCAAGAAGCCCAAACACACTGGGGATACCTGTTGGAAGTTGCATTCTCACCTAATGCCAACTAGACTTAGAAGCAAGAAGGGGAGTGCTAATGTAGCAACTACTACTGACAATGCATCTTCTTCCAGCACAAGGACCAMATCTTTGGATGCCTTAGCAGTTGTCCAGGCTGTACTGACACAACTAGAGAATGAAGCTGGTATTTCTGGATCTACATCTTAGTCTTCAACTACCACACCTGCTCATCCTACTTCAGCCCTTGCTCATACAGGTACAAGAGCTACCGCATGTCATGCTTCTATCCCAGGTAACACTAGACCTCTCTGGGTAATAGATTCAGGTGCTTCAGACCATATGACCAGCTTATCTACTTTGTTTAGCACCTATTGTTTATCCTTTGGGAGAGACAAAATTTCTATTGCTGATGGCTCCCTTGTGCCAATTTCTGGCAAGGGAGACATCAGATTATCTGATGCCATCACCCTATCCTCAGTTTTGCATGTTCCCAAGCTTAGTGTTAACTTGCTTTCAGTTATTAGTATTACTAAAAATCAAAACTATTCAGTAACCTTTTTCCCTGATTGGTGTTTTTCAGGATCTGGAAACGAAGAAGGTGATTGGGATTGGCCATGAGATGAATGGAGTCTATTTGCTTGAACATTCACAGGGGAAGAAGAGTGAAGTGGGAAATTGTTTGTCTCTCAGTCTTGGAGTAAGATTATGCTTTGACATAACCGCTTAGGTCATTTGTCTTTTGGGTCTTTGAAGAGTCTTTTATCCTTCGAGTAATTAAAGAAGCAACCTTCCTTTTGAAATTGTGCATATTGATGTTTGGGGGCCATATCATACTCCTACCATGGGAGGGTACAGATATTTCTTGTTATTTGTTGATGATTATACCCGTTTCTCATGGGTTTATCTTATGCACTCTCAAGATGAAGTCATTTCTTTGACCCAGGCTTTCCATCAGATGGTTCTAACCCAGTTTGAAACCAATATCAAAACTCTTAGATCCGATAATGCCAAGGAATACTTTGCAAAACCCTTGGCATCCTAACTCCTTGATCATGGGGTCATTCATCAGAAAACCTATCCTCGTACACCTCAGCAAAACGGGGTTACTGAGAGAAAAAATAAACATATCTTAGAGGTAGCCAGAAGCATCATGCTCAACTCTAATGTTCCCATACGCTTCAAGGGGGATGCAATCCGTATAGCCGTGTACCTTATTAACAGGGTTCCTTCACGGGTTCTAAACATGCAAACTCCGTTCAGTCTTTTGTATCCAGATAAGGACATGTTCACTATTCCCCTCAAAACTTTTGGGTGTACTTGTTTTGTTCAAATCCTTGGACCTCATTGCTCCAAGTTTGATCCCAAAGCTACTAAATGTATTTTCCTTGGGTATGCACAAAATCAAAATGGATATTGTTGTTATGAGCCTGTTTCAGGGAGGCGGTTTGTGTCCATGGATGCCACTTTTTTGAGGATATGCCCTACTATTATAGAGCTTCTCCTCAAGGGGAGAGTAGTGAGGAAGGGATTTCAGTTTCAGCCCCAAAAGTTCATTTATCTGTCCCAGTTACTGAGGGAGAGAGTTGTGAAGAGGGTGAGGGTTGTCAAAAATGCAAAGAGTTGAGTGTATCACAGAAAGTGGTGGAGGCAAGTTGATTCTCGTGCTCAACAGCAATCTAGGTCAATTCCAACCAGTGTTTTAAAAGGCGTGGGAGGCGTACGCCTACAGGCGCGCCTCCAAGCGAGGCGCTCCCAAAATGCCTTGAGGCATATGCCAGAGGTGCTAATACCTCTAAGGCGTACGCCTCTTGCGCTTTTTTCATGAGGCGTGCTAGAGGCGTACGCCTCTTGCGCCTCATGCACACTTGATATGAAAATACAGGAAAAAAAAAAGAAAACATAAATAAAGGAAAGGAAAGGAAAGGAAAAGAAAAGAAAAGAAAGGGAAAGAAAAGGAAAAGAAAGGGAAAGGAAAGGAAAAGAAAGGGAAAGGAAAGGAAAGGAAAGGAAAGGAAAAGAAAAGAAAGGGAAAGAAAAGGAAAGGAAAGAGAAGAAAAAAAGAGAAAAGGAAAGAAAAGAAAAGGAAAGGGAAGGGAAGAAAAGTAAGGGGAAAGAAAATGGTTTGCCCCCTACTCCGCTTCGGCGAGCTCGCTTCGCTCGCTAGCCTTCGCTTCGACAAGACCCCCCCTTTGAACTACTGTTATGCATCTTTATTCTTAACATAAAAGATTTTTATTAAAAATAAAGAAAAAATGAGATCCCCCTTTCCTCTTCATCCTCCTCCTAACCCCCCCCCCCCTCCTCTTAAGAAGGCTCACGCCTCCTTGTGTTCAGGAGGATTAGACCTCTTGTGTTCTAAATTATGCATCACGTCTCCGCGTTTTAAAACATTGATCCCAACATCTTCTACAACCCTAGATCTAGACACTACTACTGCTCCCACAGTTGATCCCACCATTACAGATGCTCAGCCTTCACTGCTAGATGACCTTGATCTTCCAATTGCAATTCGTAAAGGGAAGCGTCGTTGCACCTCATCCACTGCCCATTGCATCTCCAAGTTCCTTTCCTATGATTGTCTCTCAGAATCCTATAGATCTTACCTAGCATCTATTGCTATTATTCCTATACCCAGAAAAGTGCAAGAAGCCCTTCTGATGCCTGAATGGAAGGAAGCAATGGAAGAAGAGATGGATGCTCTTGTTAAGAACAACACATGGGAACTAGTCAACCAGCCTAAAGGGAAGAAACCTATTGGATGCAGATGGGTGTTTACTATGAAATATAATGTTGATGGTACTATAGAGAGGTATAAGGCCAGATTGGTTGCAAAGGGATTCACACAAACTTATGGCATAGACTATACGGAAACCTTTGCACATGTTGCAAAGATGAACACTATCAGAGTCCTACTATCCATTGCTGCAAACTTCTCATGGCCACTATTTCAGCTGGATGTTAAGAATGCTTTCCTCAACAGAGACTTGCAAGAAGAGGTATACATGGAACTACCCTTGGTTTTTATAGTACAGAAGTAGGAAAGAAAGTTTGCCTTTTGAAGAAGGCCTTGTACGGACTGAAACAATCTCCAAGAGCTTGGTTTGATAGGTTTTGACTAGCTTTGGACAAATTCGGCTACATACAGGCTCAATCAGATCACACTCTCTTCTTTAAGAAGACAGATCTTTCCCTGACTCTACTTGTAGTCTATGTAGATGACACTATGATAACAGGGAGTGATATTAGTGAAATTGAAACCCTTAAACAACATCTTCACAAGGAATTTGAAGTGAAAGACCTAGGGGAATTGCACTATTTCCTAGGAATTGAGGTAGCTCGATCTAAGCATGGCATTTTTATCTCTCAAAGGAAGTATGTTCTGGACTTATTGGAAAAAATTGGAAAGTTAGGAGTGAAACCTGCTGACACACCTGTTGAGCTTAACCATAAAATAAGTGTAGAAAATGGAGAACTTCTTGAGGACAGGGCTATGTACCAAAGGCTGGTTGGGAAACTTCTTTATCTCTACCTAACTCGGCCAGATATTTTTTATGCTATTAGTGTTGTTAGCCAATACATGCATTCTCCTAGGATCATCCACCTCCTTGTAGTAGAAAGGATTCTTGCCTACTTAAAGAGACGTCTAGGGAGAGGTATACTCTTCAAGAATAGTGGTCACATGAAAATAAAAGTGTATACAGATGCGGATTGGGCTAGATGTGTTGATGACAGGAGATCCATATCTGGATATTGTGCATTTGAGATTGAAAAAAACCAATTTCTAAGATAGCTTTTTGAATTTGTTAAACCAAGCTCTAGGGGACTGTTTAAGGCCATAAAGGGATTTCTTCAAACGACAAACCTTTCCTTCACTCCCAGGGATGTTCACTCCAGGAGGAAGTTCCATGTAGACCTCTTCCTGAAGGTCGCCATTAAGGAAGGCATTCTTAACATCCATTTGATACAAGGACCAAGAATAATGGGCAGCAAGAGACATGATAACTCGAATTGAATTCATCTTGGCTACTGAAGCAAAGGTTTCCTGATAATCAATGCCGTAAGATTGAGTATACCCTTTTGCCACAAGCCGAGCTTTATACCTTTCACTTGAGCCATCAGCTTTATGCTTCACTATGTAAACCCACTTACACCCAATAGGAACTTTGCCCACTGGAAGAGAAACAACGTCCCATGTCTGATTTTTCTCAAGCGCCTCAATTTCCTGGTTCATAGTATCCTTTCAATGAGGGAACTGCACTGCCTTAGTAACACTGTGAGGGATAAAAACAAAAGCAATGGAAGAGATATAGGCACAATAAGAGGGAGATAAGGTATCATAAGAGACATAATTTGAGATAGGATATTTAGCACATGTCATTTTTGCTTTACAAACCGCAATAGGAAGGTTAAGATCAGAAACCACACTAGGAGGCTCAGTAACAGGTTCACCGCAAGTATAAAAAACAAGAAGAGGTTCAGAATCCAAATTACCTGAGTCTAGGAAGTCAAACCGTAATGGATATTCAATCTCTAGAGTCATCCTCCTTTTCCGTCTAACGAACCACTAGTGCCAAGACTGAGGAATAGGAGGCACAGGAGGAGTATTACTACCACCACAAGGAGGAAGAAGAGAAGGAGAAGGATCGACAATACCAGTTATAGCTGGAGCAGGAATCGGCATACAAGAAGGAGTCCAATCTTTACTAGCATTCTCCCCCTGAAGAGAAGGACGAGAAGAGGAAAAGAAGGGAGTAGGCTCAAAGAATGTGACATCTTTAGACACATACATTTTTCCAAAGCGAGGGTCATAACAACGGTACCCTTTTTGGACTAAAGAATATTCCAAGAAGACACACTTAATAGACTTTGGATCAAATTTCAACCTAAAAGGACTCATGTCATGGATGAAACAAACACACCCAAAGACCTTAGGAGGAAGATGGAAGGTATCCTCATCAGGAAAAAGCAGTTGATGAGGAGACTAGAGATGAAGGGTCCGCGAAGGAAGTCTGCTAATAAGATATACAACTATTTGTGCAGCATCCCCCCAAAACCGAGTTGGGACATGCATCTGGAATAACAATCCCCTGGCAACTTCAACCACATGTCTGTTTTTCCTCTCTGATACCCCATTTTGTTAGGGGGTATGAGGACATGAACTTTGGTGACTTGCTCCTTTCTCTTCAAGGAAAGTCTGTAAGTGCTTCTCAAAGTATTTCTTAGCATTGTCAGATCTAATAATCTTAATCTTCTTTTGAAATTGTGTCTCCACTATATTAAAATAGCCTTTTATAATTGAAGGAACTTCATCTCGGCTCTTGCCACTCTTCATCAAATACAGCCAGGTATACCACGAGTAGTCATCAACAAAGAGAATGAAATATTTATAACCACCCATATATGGAACAGAATAAGGTCCCCAAACATCAATATGTATTACATGGAAAGCAACATTACTTCTCTTGTTACTTGCAAAATATGTGGTTCTACATTGCTTTGATAGTTGACAGACCTCACATTGTAGACCAGAACTAGACAAGGACTCAAACAGAATAAGAAACAAAAACTTCAATGAACCAAAAGGCACATGCCCAAGACGGTGATGCCACAATTTCAATTGACTTAGTTTTTCATCATGACAGAACTCAGACTGACACATTAACCCAAACTTTGGAGACTAATCAAGAAGATAAACTCCATCAGCTTCATGTCCACTACTAATCGTCTTCCCCGTACTTAGATCCTGGAAGACACAATAAGATGGAAAGAAGGTTACAAAACAAGTATAAAACTTTGTAAGTGAGCTAACAAATAAGAGATTTCTATGCAGTTGTGGGACACGGAGAACTGATTTCAGAGAAAGGTTGTTGGTAAGTTTAACTTCACCCAAACCCGAGATTGGGGTCTGAGATCCATCAACAACAGTAATCTTACCTTTCCCTGAAAAAAGTTTATACGTGGTAAAGTAGGAAGGCATACCAGTCATATGATCACTAGCTCCTATTTCAATTATCCAAGAGCTAGAGGATGAGGCATGACACGCAAGTGTAGTACCTAATTTTGCAAAGGCACTAGAAGGTGTATGTGAACCAGCAGATGTAGGCAACCCACTCTTTTCAAGATGGATCAAGATGCCTCTCAATTTTTCCATCACATCAGAGGTGCCATGAGTAGATGCCTGAGCAAAAGAATTTCCCTCAAGCATGTGAGTCTGAGAATGATGACTAGTTGTAGCAACATGAGCATTAACCTTCTTTCCAGTTTTAAACTTCTCAGGCTTTAGGTTGGGATTTAGTTTCCAGCACCTATCGTTGGTGTGCCTTGGCTTCTTGCAATATTCACAAACTACCTCTTCAGGTTTACCAGAACTCTGTTTGGGTTTTATAGACACAAGAGTTGTGTGCTCACTAACAGGAACTTGCATCATCGCAATCCTCCTATTCTCTTCATTCTACACTAAAGAATATGCTGTGGAGAGTGACAAAATATCAACACTAAGGATGTGTTGCCTAGTGAAATCATAATCGGCATTTAGTCCAACAAGGAAATCAAAAACTCGGTTTTTCTCAATGCACTTCCTGTATTGTTCAGCATCAATAGGATCCTTCCACTCCAAAGCTTCTAAATGATCCATTTCTTCCCAAACTGATTGTAAGGAAGAGAAATACATGGCCACCGATTTCTCCCCCCGTCACATATTACATGCTTCTCTTTGCAACTGATAGAATCTAGTCGTGTTCTTCGCTTGACAATAAGTTGAAGTTAACCTATCCCAAATGTCTTTAGCTGTTGAAAGGAACATATAGTTGCGGGCAATGTGAGGCTGCATAGAGCATACAAGCCATGACATAACCAGCAAATTATCCTGATCCCATTTGGAATAATTTGGATCTTCGGGCTTCGGCTTAGCTTCCTTACCGATAATAAACCCAAGCTTACCTCTTCCACCAATTGATTAGCTGATTGAGACCATTCAAGAAAATTTGTTCCATCAAGTTTTACAGTAGTAATTTTCCCTCTAGCACTATCATTACTTCCCAAGAGGACATAGGTAGGTACATACACATCCTTGTGTGAGTCCATTAATCACCACCCCTCTAAAAACACTTTTCTCACCAACACCATGATCTCCCAACACTAGATGAACACCCAAACACCTTTCCTTGAAGGTTAAACACGGGCTACAACAATAAAACAAAAGAAAAGAAGGTGTTAGTGGCAAAATAGGGGAAGAAAAAAATTCCCAAAAAAGTTTTAGGTCTCCAAAAAATCTGAGACTACTTCCTATAATCTCAGAGATTTACCACAATTTATACGCAAGTGGATTTAACAACAACCAGCACACAATGCGAGCATGCAAGCCCTAAACTCCAAATTTTTTGCCAATTTTCATCTGAAAAATCCAAGAAAATGTAAAAGAGCTTCATATCTCCATGATATGTATATCAAAATTCCTCTAAAACGAGGCACATCAATGGGTGTCAAAACCGTAAATGGACGCCATCGATTGTACAGGCTACTGACGTCAACCGGCAGCGTCCTGACATCAGCAAGTTCATCTGTGAGTCACAACCAGTGGCTGATGCTCTCCTTGATCTTCCAATGCTTTGATACCAAGTTAAAGTACTCAAGTTAAGAAGAAGAAGAAGAAAGGGTTTTGTCAAAAAACTTAGGTGTGTTGTTGTTCACACCCTGAAGAAGAACCAAACTAAAATAAAACCCAACTAACAAAAGCCCCTTACCCATAAATCATTGTACCTAATTATCATTTTCATCAATTTCTATACATCCCATTGCCATAAATGTGGTGAGGCAATAGCTAGTCATTGCCTCTCTAATTGGTATGATTACCATTCAGTACCTAGGCAATGACTAGTCAACAAAAATGATATGTTCTAAATTTAAGATATTGATGCAATCTATAAATAAGTTAATACAAGTCACCAAGGTTCAAAAAACGTTACGTATCGGCCGATAGGTATCGTATCGAGCCCTTCCTGATATGCCCCTACAGGGGTTGTATCGGGTCAGGGCCTGGTTCAGAGGATAACCGGGACTTAAATCGGCCCCTCTGAACCAAAATCGAAAAAAAATAAGTGGAAGTTAAAAAAAAGGGTCGATATGCCCTACCAGCGTATCGGCTAGTATCGATACTTTGAACCTTGCAAATCACAATTATGCAATAAAAGAATGATATTGAACATTTAGTTTATAGTCTTTGTTTTGCAAACATTAAAAAAGAAAAAAGTTAGGCTGGATAGGTTAGGATAGAGAAGTACAGACTTTCTTTTCCAAAAGAAGAGGACAACCTTTGACTATCTGGTGTGCCCTTTATCTAAGTAACTCCATACCAAAACACCACTAGGCCATTATTATCCAATGTTGGTCCCATCTATTTGGAGTCTTGGGAGGTATTGATTGGATATGGTCCTAACCTTTGACATGCTTTTTTTTTTTTTGCACACAGTGGCCACCCTTAGACATCTACATACCACAAATTGGAATTTTGATCGATAACATCAAACTTTCATTAGAATATATATGCTAATAGTACATGACAAATAAGTACGAAGTGTACAAGGTAAAAGGGCAATGAGAGATAAAAACTCTTCTCTCTCCCCACCAAGGTTCAAAGTATTGATACAGGGCGATACGTCGATAGGGAGTAACGATACTCTTTTTTTTGTTTCTTTTTTATTTTTTTTTAATCTGGTTCAGAGGGGCCGATTTAAGGCTGGTCTACCCCCTAAACCACTTCCCAACCCTTGTTTGGCTAAAGTTTCTCTTCCCACCCCTTGTTTGGCTAAAGCATCCACTACAGAATTAGTACAGCATTTTATCCAGTTGAAAGAGATTTCCATCTCTCTTGTCAGCCATCTAAATTTCTTCTTTTCATTGCTGTAAATCCACATCATCATCTCATCACTTTGTATTCAATTAATTACCAATCTCGAATCTCCCTCAATAATTAGTTTTCTAATATTCAGTTCTTTCGCCCTTTGTATAACCTCCATCAAGGCCAGAACTTCTTTTCATTGCTGGAAACGCTCGAGTCTTTTATCTAGGGAGAGGTTGAAAAGTCTAGGGAAGGAGGTTGCTAAGGTAGAATTCCCCCACCAAAGGTCTTTCCAGAATTTAATTTTTGAACCATTCCCTACTTTATATCTAATAAAAGGAAAAAAGGTAGGGTGTGAAGAGACTATACCTTTCCAAGGGTTTGAAGACTTTACCCAATTCGAAAGGAGATTGCTATCCCATCTGTTATTGCTTAATCCATATTTGCTTGTGACGACAGCTGCCCAAAGAGCATTGGATTCGATGGGGGACCTCCACAGCCATTTACCCAGAAAAGAAGTGCTTTTTTCTTTCAGATGTCCAACTCCTAGACCCCCTTCCTCCTTTGGATTGCAAACTTGATCCCCAGCTTACCAAATGATTTCTTTTTTCCCCTCCTCTATCCCACAGAAAGTTTTTTTTTTTTCTCAATTAAATTTCTTTCTTTCATCGGAATTCAGAACACTGAAAGGAAATAGATAGGCAAATTTGCTAGGGAGGCTTTTAGAAGTGTGAGTCTTCCCCCTTTTGATAGATAACATCTCTTCCAAGATGCTAACTTCTCACATTTCTCCATCACCGGCCCCCAAAAGCTAAAGGATCTTGGGTTTCCTCCAAGCGGCATCCCTAAATAGGAAATAGAGAGGTTTTCCACTTTGCATTCCAGCACTAATTTGAACTGTTCAAGGAGATCCTCTATTATAGAATTTATGGCTACTATGCTGCTTTTGCTGAAATTGAACATCAAACCCGTGATTAGTTCAAAACATTCAATTATTCTTTTTGCATTAGTGATGTTCTCTATGGAGGCATCTAGAAATAAAATGATATCATCAGCAAATTGTAATTGAGAAATAGGAACCGAGTTCCTCCCTATTTCAAAACCTTTCACCAGATTAAGAAGGTTGGCTTTCTCAAAGAGGTAATTAAAATATCCATCACTACAGTGAAGAGGAAAGGAGAGAGTGAGCAGCCCTGTCTTAGCCCTCTACTTGCTTTGAAGTAACCTTTTAGTTCCCCATTAACCATCACTGAAAACCATGAAGAGCCAATGTAACCTTTCATCCACCTAATCCATCCACTACCGAAACCCCTCAGTTTTAGGCAATCTAAGATGCAATCCCAATCTACTTTGTCATAAGCTTTTTCAAGGTCTAATTTAACTAGAACCCCGAGCTTCCTAGAAGCTTTTCTGTCTTCTACATACTCATTTGCAATTAGGATGTTGTCCACAATTTGTCTTACCTTGACGAAAGCAAACTGATTTGGGGATATCAATTCTCCTAAGGCTTCTTTGAGCCTCCTTGCTAACACCTTGGCCAAAATTTTGTGAATGCTTCTCACCAAACTTATTGGTCTAAAATCCTTGACCTCCAAAATTCCCCCCTTTCTTTGGGATAAGACAAAGGAAGTTTGAATTTAATCCTTTATTTACAATGGAAGAGGAGTGGAAATCCCTGAAAAACTCTATTAGATCTTCTTTAACAATCTCCTAGCACTTCTGAAAGAAGAACAAGGGGAAACCATCTAGCCCTAGAACCCTATCTCCATCCATGCTAAAAACAGTCTCTTTAATTTCTGATACTTCAAAGCTTCTTTCCAGCCAAGACTTCTTTTCTAAGGGCAGGGTCGAGCCTTCCCAACTCCTCAAGAGATGGCTGCAAGCTCTCTCCTTAAGAGTACAGACTTCTGAAGAAGGAAATAAAAGCTTCTGTGATCTCCTCAACATTCTCCACTTCCCATTTGTCCACTTTCAATTTAGAGATGAAATTTTTGCTGCACCTTCCTGAAGCGTAAACATGGAAGAATATTAAGTTATTGTCTCTTTCCTTTAGCCATCTCACTCCCAATCTCTGCCTCCAATAAATTTCATCTCTTCTGACTACCATCTCCCACATTTTCCTCAAGTCGGCTTTCTTACTCTGCCTGAGTTATCTATAGAACCATTTTGTTCCCTTATATCTAACTCTTCCAGCTCCGAAAGAATTAACCTTTTCTCATCTTCAAAGGCCTTGAACTCTTCTTTTCCCCAAACTTTTAACTTCCTTTTTAGAAATTTTAGCTTTTGTAATAGCTTGTAACCAGCCCATCCCTCCACATTACATTCCTTCCACCAATCAGCTACATTTTTGGAGAAGTCCTTGTGCAAGGCCCACACTTTTTCCAGTCTGAAAGGGGATTTTCTTTTAATAGTCAATTCAGTATTCAGCACTAAGGGCCAATGATCAGAAGTGCATCAAGGCTGAATTTCCTGGAATAAGTTGGGAAAATTCTCTATTCATTCTTGAGAAAGGAGAAATCTTTCAAGTCTGCAACTGATGTTATTTTCCTGCATATTTGACCATGTGAACTGTCCATTCTTGAGGGGAAGATCACACAAGTTGTGTCTAGAAATGCTCTGCACCTTGAGTGCTCTTGACTGAATCTTATAACATTGAAATCTCCTTCTATACACCACGGAATGTCTTCCTCTTCATGCAAAGAATCCAACTCCCCCCAGAATCTCTCCCTCATAGGGAGAATTAGGACCATACACCCCAATTAAAATCCAGTTGAATCCATCTTTAATGTTGGTGAAGAGGACTGAGATTGAGTATTCTCCTTTGTCAATCTCCAAGCCTGAGAGTTCGTCTTCATTCCAAGCTAAGATGATACCTCCTGAAGATCCCACTATAGGAATGGCTGTCCATTTCTTACCCCTTAATGTCTCTTTGATTCTTGTAGAATGACTATGTCCAGGTTTGCTCTTTCTAAGGTCTCCTTCACTAGGTTTTTTTTGAGCTGACCTCCCAACCCCCAATCATTCCAATTTAAGATTTTCATTAAGCCTCTCTTCTGAAATTTCCCTTGTTTGTCCTACTACCTCCTGAATTTCGATCCTGTAACTAATCCCCATTGAAGCCTTTGTAATTCCTTTCTAGGTCCCTTTTTCCCACTTATTTCTGCTTTGTTCCTCCTCAGCTATTCCCTGTTTTTCTCCACTTGTCTCCCTTCTTTCAATTCCCAATAAGTTTGTAACTTTTCCAATCCTAATTCCACCAAATTAGGACAAACAAGGATTGGAAGAAGTCCCGGTTGATGACCAACGAGCTTGATGAGGATTGAGAGAAGAGACTGGCGAATATCTTCCTTGTCTACAACCATGGCTCTCTGAGTCCAAAAGCTTGCCATAATCTGGATTGGCTAATTGAGTTTGTTCTAGGATCTCGACACTCCCCCAAACTACATTCCCTTTGAATAGTTTTTGGACCCTTTCGAACACTTTTTCCTGAGAATCTGAATTGCACTCTGTTGCATAGGAGCTGATATCTTCCCCTAAATCGTCTTCCTCAGTAGTTGAAGCTAAACCAGAGCTCACTGAAGGAGTGGGAGCTTTGAAGACGTTACCTTTCTGCCAACCCGAGCTGGGAGGGGTTTCAGGCACTGAGAGCCCAGAGAATGAGGGGCTTTTGAGTGGGCTTGAAGAACTTGGGTCTGGGTCCCCCTAAGAGTCATGGGCCTTTAAGGATAGGCCCTGGATTTTGAACCGATTAGAATTCGGGTTGGGTTTCAGATCCTGGTTTCTGGGTGACAGTTTTGAGTCTTGGGAAGTCTTTAAGAAGGATCGAGACTGTCTAGTTTCCTTCCTAAGTTTGAACTTTTGAGCTTCTCTGTTAAAGTTCTCGCCACTGCTTTGAGACTCGCCGCCGACTTTGCTTCACCCTCTTGGAACTTGTCTGAGCTTGCATGTAGAGAGACGTCAAAGGAGGAGTTGCCACGTGGAAAGGAGCCGGTAGAGCGAGTCGACTTGTTCGTCTTCTCCACCTCTACAGAGATATAGAACCAGACGTTCCTATCGAGTAGGGGAATCGATCTAGGGATAACATGAACGCCTCGACTTTTCACTTTGATTCTGGCCTGGTTCAAGTCTGAGAGGTTCAGCATCTGGGCAGACTTCCTGGTGGATACCACTGATAATTAGAAACAACCTTAGGGAATGAAGATTCAGCAACTTCTTTCCAGTTTCTGAGTAGATTGTCCATTGACACATTTGAAAAAGAATCAATGAATTTCAGCCAGTGTACTGCTCTAATCAAAACTGTGTCCCTAACCTCTTCAATCCTTCACTACCGGATTCATTTTATGTTTTTTTTCTTATTTTATATACCATTAGCCAAATAATTAGTGAATTTCATACACAATGTTTTAAAAGGCTAAAGGCGTAGTTGAGGCATAATGGCCCAAAAAGGTGAGGCGTAAGCCTCAAAGTTTAAGGAAAAATTAATTAAAGTTTGTAAATTGATGAAAATAACATATAATACGCCAAATTAAAATGATAGAAAGTACACAAATCCATAAAACTAGAAGTTTATAAGCAAAAAGTTTTAACACTTAAGCATTAAATAAATTAATAACTAATCAACTAACAACTATAAACATTTTACATTTCATGTAAAAAACAATTTAGAAGAAAGGAAACAACTTAGTTGATTTGATCTATTATTATTAAAAATTAAGAAATATGAAAAATAACAAACTTGAGGCATTACAATTAGAATAATAAGAAAAATCTCACTTGATTTATCCAAAAGAAACTAAGAACTTAAGTAGTCCTTTTTGCATTGAACTCTCTTAAAACACTAAGAAAAACTAATAGAATTTTATTTGCCTCATTGGCTTTTCTTTTTTATTTTTTATTTGGCTTATAATTATTGAAGTGTTTTTTCTATATGTTTTACATTGTAAAAATTTATATTTTTTTGCATTAAATCACTATGTAATCATTGATATTTGAGGCTTACGCCTTTTTACGCCTCATGCCTTGAGGCTTGGGGTTTACACCTCATTCTGACAAAGGCTTAAGCCTCACATCAAAGTTATGAAGCTTACGCCTTGAGGCAAAATTTGTGCGCCTCACCTCAAGGCATACACCTCACGCCTCAAGGCTTAAGCCTTTTAAAACAATGTTCATACAAGTCTTTTTTCTATTTTATTGTTTCTTTAATTTTATTCTATATCTACATTGTTTCAAATAATTAGAGATATTGACAAATAAATACAACTTTAAAATAACTTTGTGGCTGAGTTTGATTAGTCATTCGTCAACTAGTCAACTTAGTCAATGCTTAGTCATTCTAGGTAACCACATCATGATTCATGAGTATCTACTGACTAGATAAATATGCATACATATGGATCTCAACTGACTAGTTGACACCTTGATAACACTGACACATCCTTTCTTTCCCTTTGTACACCACCATCTCTTGTTACTATCTTAAGAGTATAGTAGATTAGAGGATTACGATTTTTTCCATATTTTCTAATTTATTTGGCAGATTATAACTGTGATCAGGCTAAAAGTAGACACAATTTCCTTTTTTTTAGAAGAGATAAAGTATTGTATTATATCTTCTCTATAAAAACTCAGATTACAAGTATGTATTGAGTATGCATCATGTACAGCCAGAAACTGTACATCTTTCTGTGCATGCCAAAAAATCAGGCCAACTATAAAACAAAAAACAGAGTTCTTCAGACCCTTTCTTCAACTTGAATATAATTATCTACAGTAGACATAATACTTAGGTGTGCAAGGCAGAGTTTCATCCAAGCAACCACAATTTAACGTTTATGTATGTTTGCTGCTTCATATCACTCTTTTACTGATAAAAATTTGATCACTCTTGGTGGTTTACTGTGTAACATATAACATAATGCCATTGCTAACTTTGGCCCAAAGTTTATTCATAACCAGTTTTATCAAAGTGTCAACTAATCATTGACTAGTCAGTTAAGGGTCAGACTGATTGCATCACTACCTAGGATGACTAAGCATAGACCATTTTCTCTTTCTAATATGTAACCTGGCGCTCTGTATGTACTCTTACAGATATTTTTATTTTAGTATATCTTTATTGCTAGGCTATCAATCAAATATGGTAACTAAAGGTGACACATTGGGTGAAGACTTTAGAGAATTTTCACTTATTCGGTTAATGATATTATACAAAATTGGACACAAGTAGCAAACTCTTCTACAGTTAAAGATAGAGAGGTAATGGAGTGGAAACCTCCAGGTTTTAATAAGATTAAGCTGAATTTTGATGGGAGATCTCTCATTCTCTTGGCAACCCAAGGACGGCAGGTATTGGAGGAGTGTTCAGAAACCATATGGGCAAGGTGGTAGCAGGCCCAATTGGTCATGATGATTTATGGCACTACCACAAGGGATATGACTAGCAAAACAGATGGGGCTGCAACAGATGGAGTAGGGATTCAAAACTTGCCATTTCCTAGACGAATGAAAACTCTCCAGGAGTATGGTTGTATGGGCACATTTTATGGAAATCTGATGCTTAGAAAAGGAAATGTATAGCACTTTGAGATGGGAGAGAAGGACCGCAAATGGGATGGAAGACTCCTTAGCTAAGCAAGGGGCACTCAGGCAGCAGTTTCCTGGGCAGAATTGTAGTTCTTTAATAGGAATATGTCTAACCTTTTTATGTTAACCTTATGTTTTAAGTATCATTAATAAAATACTCTTTTACTGATAAAAAAACCTATTAAATATGGCAACTAAAGTTCTTTTGCTTGAGTGGAAATTTAGATTGTCATCTAGAAGCCATCCTTGGAAACAACAGGAGGTCTTGAATTGCCTCAACAAATAAACCAAACATAAAAGAGAAAGGAATTAGAGGCTGACCTTGTTTCTCTTTGTTTTATCTGGCGACATGACTTCCCCAGACGCTGTCTTGGAGAAGATCCAGTTCTAGAAATCAAACTGCTTCGCCGCCTCCTAGCCTGTTCCATGTACTTCTTTTGAAGATGTTTATGACCACCACTACAGCTTTTCCATGATAAACATTTACCAGGTAAAGAAGTACCTTGAAAGCCCAAACCAGGCAACTCCTCTGGTTCCTTTCTTAGTTTTGAAGTCACAGAGTTTTCCTCTTCCTTCATGGAATTGTCCTCTTTTGTTTCATAGAAGAGTCCTTCCTGGTCAGAGCTTGAATCAAGTTCTTCAGATAAGTCACTGATTCCATTGTCCTCAAGTATAGTTAGAACTTCTTCTGTTGCTTTCTCTGCTTTCTTTCTTTGGAGAGTCACAACCTTTAGCTGTTCCTCCAGTTCCATAACCTATTTTGAGTGTCAGGCAACAAACAAAATGTATAGTACTTGAGAAATTCTGAACAATTGAGAATAAGGACAGTCAATAATTCAAATAACTAATAAAGTTCCCGGTGAAAGAAAAGAAACATGATAGATATTTTATAACTAGAAACAAAAGAAAAGGACAAAAAGAAAAGAAAATATAATAAACAGATAGAAGGCAAACAAACATAACTTCTCAACAGTAGATCAAACAAGAAAACCTCCACAGAAAATGATGAAGATTTCAATTAAACTTACGCTTTTAGCCAGCTCATCAGCCCTCTGCCTTGCAGTTCTTGAAACAGATCTTTCAGACAGCAACCGAGCACGAAGGAACTCGATAGTCATAGCAGTGGAGTCCTCCATACCAGTTATTTGCCTGGAAAGTAAGAACGAAGTTATTCATCTTTCACTTACCAAAAAAATGTTATTCAGCTTCCCTTCAAAATACAAACTCTGATGTCTTCATACGTTATCAAAGCCCAAGCCCTTTAGCATTTCCGCAGCAAATTACAAAAGTAACTAAAAGCAACAATTAGCTTATGTAAGACCCCCCTAACTGTCAACAAATCTAATTAGCAAATACCTAAAACCTGTAAAATCCAAAACAAGCACTGATCACCCATAATCAGTAGTAGAGAAGAATTTGCAACTCAAGAAAACCTTAACTCACTCATTTCATCATTTAACTCAAGAAAACCTTAACTCACTGATCACGCATAATCAGTAGTAGAGAAGAATTAGCAACTCAAGAAAACCTTAACTCACTCATTTCATCATTTAACGCAATCCCATGAGTCCAAACACCCAGAACTCTTGTATCTCCCAAAAATTAAAAAAAAACAAAAAAAAAACAAAAGAAAATGTAGTAACATCATATACTTCTTCAAAATCCCCAAGTTTGTCAACATCCAGGATCCCTAGAGATACATCATACATCCCAACATTGTTAAGTTCCGAAACCCAAACAGTCAGACAGCCAAGTTCTCCACAATCAGATAAAAGAAGACCATAAGAAACACTAATCTATAAGCCACAAAGAACAAAAATAAATCCATGATTCCGTGCTCAATAACAAGTCAACTAGTAGCAACTTGAATGGGAAAGAAAATTTGAAGCGAGGGGAAAACGACCAAGCTTCTCTTTATACATCTTAATTACAAGCTAAAGCAAAAGAAATGGGAGTTCCAGCTCCCTACCTCTGATCTTGCACATCCTGGCCTTCATTCCCAGAATTCTGCATTTTCAGTAGCAAGCTCGAACCAATCCACAAGAACCCTAACTTCGAAACTTGAGCTGCTGCTGCTACATCAGTGTGAACCAAATTACCTGAAATTCCAATCACCTTAGCATCTCATACATCAAGTTGAGCTCATTCTAAGAACCCGATCTACGGAAACACTAGCAAATTTGACGAATTACAGAGAATTGGAACCCAAATTCGACAAGAAATTTGATCAAAGACGCCATTACATCGAAAAGGTATTTTTCATTTTTATTCTCCTTTCTCCTATCCTAGCCGACAGCCCGACAGTGACCGAAGAGGCAACAAAGAGAGGAACTCGCGTGCGCGCCCCACACCCTCAGGCGTCCAACACCACATTCCAATCGTATCGTATACTGGGAACATCTCCAGACGACAAGCATGGATGATGTTCGCAATGCACGTTGAGATATGTATGTGGGGCGCTAATGTGAACTCGGAAGAGAGTGGGGTGTGTTTGATTGGTGACACACATAATACACGCTGGAACTTCGTTTGACCATCATGACTCATGAGAACAAAGACGATGGCCACGTGGTGGGTATTAAACTTCTCGTCAATTTAGGGGGTGTGATGGTAGTTTTTTTGGTATTGGCAAAGCGGGTTTTGGTTTGGAGTGATTATCCAGAATCATTTGGGCCTGGCAGTATCAGAATCTTTTGGCCCAGCCCAAGTCTCATCTCTGGCAATTTTGAAAGGTTTGGATCTTCATCTTCTGAGCAGGTTAAAAAGCGATTGCGCCAATATCATACAATCACTGAACTTTGGAAACAGCAACAAGGCTCAAGATACAATGTTTCCAATTCCAACTCAGTTACCCATGTGCCAACAAAAAGAGGTCTAGTGGAGTCAGGTCTGTTTGTGGAAAATTGCCCTCCCTGGGTTGCAGATATGGCTAAGAAAGACTCCACTAGACCTGTTAATCCCTGTAACTAAGCTCTTTCTTCTTTCTTTAGCTGTTGATATATCATCTTGTGTTATCAAAATTAAAATTGGGGTGGTGGATAAATTGGGTGGTGTCTTTTCAATCGCATCTTAGCACAACAGATATTCTTTGCTGTGGTCAAAATTTGGTAGCCTAGGCCACATCACACCTATATAGGCATTCTGCAAGGTGTTGTGTGGTTCGGGGCCTCTGTGTATCTCATATACACAATGTGATGTGATCTAGTGATCGATTAAGAATAATATTTTTTTGGTGTTTTTAAGCAAAATGCAATTCAATAGTATGAATTAATTTAACGTGATAAAAAAATTAAACATTAATGTTGATTTAAAAATTAAAAACATTAATAATAATAATAATAATTAATATTGATAATAAAATTAATAAAATAATAATACTAATAATAAATCAAAAAAAAAACTAATGCTGTTTTAAAAACCAACCTAGAGACCAAACTGTTTTTGCCTCCAGGTCGTGGATCACCCATTCGACCATCTGGGTCAAATGGGTTAGACCGTTCCATGTTAGCAATAATTAATCCATACATGTATATACAAATATATGTCATGTATGTATATATATAAAAAAAAGATATGAAATAAGGCTATCAATAGGTCGAGGACAAACAATCATAATTAGGTTTTATCATGTCGGACAAAATAGTCCCTATAGCTCAGTTTGGAAGGAATATAAATACAAATATATACAATACAAATACATACAAAATACAAGTTTTTACACTACAAATTTGTATTTGTACTCCTTTCAAACTGAGCCTATAATTTACTAACCCTTTAGGTCTGGTTCAAAATTGGATTTGCACATTTTTTTTTATCGTATCAGAACCGGTATGCCCTGATTGTGTGGGCGTTTTTTCCTATGTGGCACCAAATTGTCACAAGCGAATCAATCGGTCATGCCACCAGCATGCCAACCGAGTATCCTTTGGTCTATTTTGGGTGGAGCATTGTAAGGAATGCCAATGGCTTATTGTAATTATTAGCGTAATTATTCAACATTTTGATGATTTTTCTATTAGATTCCCAAAAGCTTAACATCTTTTTTAAGGGGAGATAGATAATAAGAACGAATTAAGGGTTAAGTATGGGTCCCCTAACACATAAACCTTGTGCATGTACTTAATATATCAATACAATACAATACAAAGTGTCTTTTTATTAGTTTGGGTATCATCACTGTTTTTTGTGTGTTTCTTTGTTTCATAGACTTATTTAATACAATTAAGTGTTGTGTAGGGCCTCAATGACTAACCCCATGATAGTTGGTATCAGAGTAAGATCTCATCAATACAATTTGACCCAATCAATTGGCCCTCAACATTGTGTAGGCTAGACATTGTAAACATTGTCTTGGTTGGTTCTGGAGATAGTGAGTAAGATGTAGGGGAAGAATAATGAAAAAAAGAGCTAGGAAAGGTAACTTTAAGGATGAGAAAAGAATGAAATCAGGGCTCTGAGAATGGCCAAGCATTGATATGTTTGGTTTAGATAAGTATATTTTTGTCATTATCATGTCAAGGACCCTCCTATTTATAGGCGAAGGAAGGGGCGGTTTTTAATATGCATTTATCAAGAATTCTAGAATGTTCGATGGATAATTACAGGTTCGAATCTGTAAGTCATTGATATGATGGCACGCATTGGGTTGCAATTCATGGAGTAGATTCACTTTTATCCCATGTTCACAGGCACCTACCACATGTCATTGTGGGGAGACATACTTTGACAGAACGGGATCTGCTCTTCACACATGGCTGCCTCACAGGCACATCCACCGTGCATTGGAAACATCTCCCGTGAATAATAACTTATAGGTATGGGAGATGTTTTCAATGCATGGTAGAATGTGCGTCTGAGGTCGGTGTGAGGAACCCTGTGTGAAGAGTAGATCCGGTCTCCACTTTGACGTACTTAACGGCTTTTTCAGTTGCTTGTTTCCTATATTTTATCTTCAGTTAGTACATTTGTAGATTCGTTTCTCTAGGGAATGTCCACGGTGGTTTTCTTTAATCCAAGTTTTATTTGCATTTGAAAGCTCCACGGAACCGATTGATTTTGTTGTAGTTGCTTGTTTGTGATGCTGATTTATAGGTCTATTTCCTTACATTAACACCATAAAGAGCAACTCAAACTGTGGACAAGATACGGTAGGGAGTCTCCCAAGCCCACAAAACCAACAATGCACTTGAAGATGACGTTGGCAAAGACAAAGCCCCAAAGGATTGAACATATAAAGCCAATAAACATGAGAAATCCATCAACAATCTTGTCAACATTGACACCCGCATTCTATGTTGTAAAGTAACAATGGATGAGACACGTGATCACATGGAGGAGCTTCACCTTAATGTCGAAACGATCAAGACCACGATGGTGGAGCCAGAGGAGCACTTGAATGGTATTTCAAATGAAATTCATGACATGATGAATGAAACCCTTAAGGAGTTCTTCAACACCTAACATCAAAAAAATGAAGTTCCTCTCGTGTAAATATCCAAGACATACTTGATAAATTTCAAGCCCAAGTTTATGAAATGAAGGATGAATGGGAAATGTGGAATAGAACCATGTCCACAACCTTGGTGGTTCCAAGCTCAGCTTGATGTGATCAAAGAAGAGTGGGAAGTCATGAAGTCAGTTATGTGTACCTTATTTGACATATAGGCCCAACTAGACGAAATCAAGGGGGATATGTAACATCATGAAAAGAGTAATTGCCAATTTAACCAGCACCTTAACAACACTCACTCCCACCAAATCAAAGGCCCATTTGTTTCCTCTTAACTCTTATCTTTTAAGAGGAACCTTTTATCTTTAAGAGAAAAATGATTGTTTGTTTCTTTTTATCTCTTATCTCTTAAAGTGTAATTATACAACTCTTTGTTTTTCAATGATACCCCCAAAAAAACAACAAAAAACTCTCATATATGGGGTCAAAATGGATATTTGATAATTTTCAGAATTCAGAATTAAGAACAACATTCTCAAACTTCAGAGCAAACGAATAGACCCTAAGATCTGTGAGCCAACTCCTTATTTAGGCATCTGTGATGCTTGTGAACTTGACAATTTCTTGTGGCAAGTGGAATAATAATTCTCATAAATAAGACTTGGTCCTGAAAAGACCCAAATGCACACTACATCTATGTATTTAATTGATGTTGCTATGTTGTGGTAGTATAGGAAATGCATAAACATTGAGCATGGTACATGTACTATTAACACTTGAGTCGAATTCAAACATGAGTTAAAGAGAATGTGAAATATTTGACCCATAGGAAGCTTAAAGAACTTCAACACAAGGACTCACTCCATGAATAAGTCGAGGAGTTTTTGGCCCTAACACTCAAAATCATTGACATGTTATGAGAAAGATTTGCTTTTCAATCTCATGGATGGACTAAAACCATAGGTGGAATTGAACTTCAAGGACAAAGCGTTTAACATCTCGCAACAATCACACTAATATGAAACTATTGGATGATGAAGAAACCTAACCTTCAAGTCTAAGTGCCTCAAATTTGAGTGGGAGAGAAAGAAAACCAAACTCCTTCCAAGAGAAATAACCCTATCATAACAAGCCAATCAAACACTTAAAGGAAAAAGCCACAAGGAAATCATAATCACATCGCTTACAAGTATAAGGAGGCACATTACCACTTCATAACCTTGTTTCATTTGTAATATGCATTGAATGAGAAATTATGAGAAATTTTCCCACAATGGAAGAAACTTAATGCCCTTATTACCAAGTTCTTGATAATGAATAAAGCATGAAGATAAACCTGCACAAATGCCAAGGGTGAGCGATCTACAACTTCTTAATGCCATGGTAAAGAGAAAGGCAACAACGAAATAGTCCAACAAAGGGGCTCGGATCTGCTACCCACAAGTTGTTCCCACATCCCTAGCCATAGGACATGGAAGCTGCGGATTGGGAATCTCCCGATGTTCCCAATACACAGCGGTGGTGTTCCATGGGTAGAGGTGTGGGAACATTATGTGGGTAGCAGATATGTAGCCTTCATCATATATGTGGGTAGCAGATCGTAAGCACTACATATCTGCTAGTGCTTACAACGACCAATTTGGAGTGCAAAAATTGCTCCCATTTTGAATGCAAACTTCATTAATTAGACTTCATCATTTATGTATTTATATAAAATCTATCTAGATATCGTCATATACATTTAAAACCCGTAGGATTTAGAAAGCCTGTCTTACCAAACAGCACCTTGGTAGTAGGATGGGATGTCCGTGAAAAAAAAAGAATGCTGGTGCTGGTGACTTGGACCGCATTTCACTAGCCTGAGTCCAGCACAGACCAGTCCATATAAAAATTCTAAATCATGCCAGACTTATAGGACAGAGATCATCAACTCGTCAACCTGCAATTCACTTTCCTCAGAAGTCAGATCTGGCCTGGTTATGGTTCTATTGGATTAATTGGTCTGCCATGAACGTCACAGAGAACAATCTTTGTTTGTTGGGTGGGATATGCTCCAGCTCCATAAAGCAATGGCTCAAGTGGGCCATGATTTTTTGAACAGGACCAAACTGGATTCAGGCTTACCCAACCTGAATTGGAATGCTAGATAAGAGGTGAAGATATCAGACCTATTTCTGTTTTTAATTCTTTGGACAATATCCTGGTTTCTTACGATAAAATTCAATGGTCTTGGAATGAATACAATTCCAATTTATTCCCTTCAAGTTGGCTCCAGATCAACCCAAACTCAATCAACTGAGTAGCTTTTTTTCCTTTCTGTCACTGATTCTATGTTTTCCTGGATAAACCCAACCTGTTCTAAGTTCCAGTTGAACCTGGGTTGAGGCCTCTGAGCATAAACCCACCTAAGCCCATGATCATGTCTGTGTGTGAAGTGTTAACAACTTCACTGTGTATTAATTAACTGTTTGCTTTAAAATTTTTCTTCACTTAGATTAGATTATTCTCCAACCCAAATTTAACTGTTGATCATTCTTTAAAATAATGGATATGTATATACAGCTTAGACTTATTAATGTATTTTGGTTTAATAAGATGGCTGATTCCTGTGGTTAGGTTGGAATCTCCTTAACACCCTCCTTCACTGAAACCAATCCAATGCTTGAAAATGGTTCCTCATGCAATGGGCCATCACTTATTCCCTTTATTTCATTACTGACCACCATAATTTGGTTGTACACTGTAACACTGAGGCACTCCAGTAAAGACAATACTGAGTGCAGAGTATTTTTGTTACTTGATCACTTTATTTCAATTATTGTACAATATCTGTCTCCACTATCTACCTCACCAAGGCATGCTTCCCTTTAGTTTTAGTTTAATCTAATCTACCTAGCTCTATCTGCCATGTGACTTAAGCAGCAGCAGCAGCAGCAGAAGAAGAAGAAGAAGAAGAAGAAGAAGAAGAGGAATTTACATGGCCAAAATAAGGGAACCCTGTGTCTGGGTACAAAACTTAATAAATGTTTCAAATGTACTATGGATCAGGAGTGAGGACCCATCACCCATTACTGAATGGCCCTCACTGGAGAGGTCTCCAAGCCTAGAGGTCACCGTGACCAATGTTTTTTCACTCTGAATTCTGGTCTGTTGAGGTTGTCCAGAACACAGCAATTCTCTAGCCAAACAAGGTAAAATCAACAGCTGTGTTGTAGTTAAGAATTTTTTTTGTCTCTGTGACTCCGGACGGGTGCTCAAGGACATGTACAGATTTTGTCACTGTTGAATGGGTAGCATGCTTTTAAATTTCAGTCTCACATTTCAAAATTTTCACATCTTTTCCCAAGTTTCAGAATTTCAGACATTTTTATCCCACCTGAAATTTGAAATCACCACCACCATCATCATCTACGCCTTGTACATGAATTCTGTTTCACCATTCACTTCTGTTCAGTGTCATATCCATCCTTAAATTATAGGCACTTAAGTCACTTCTCATTTGAGATACGATATTAAAATTAACAAAAATGAATATTATAAGTTGCTAAAAATTCCAAAATCACTAAAGACTGTTCTGTAATGTCTCATTAAGGCAAGGCTAAATACATCTTTCCCGCTACATACATGATACATGAAACATATACATCATCATCCTTGTATGATACCCAAAGAGAAGGGTATCATTAACCTCAACCTTCCTTTAACTATCATCTTACTAGTCGAGTTAACCTACACCACAGGGCGTTGGAGTATCAGAACGGTCCTCCAATGTAATGAAAAAATTAAGCAAAATTAGTTGCTGGATGAACAGCTTTAAAACTCCCACTAGAAATGAACAAGTTCATCTGAGACTTCCTGCACCAAGAACCCAAAGATTGCAAACTCGATCTCGGTTGCTGCATCCTGTACCTGCTCTTGGTGTCTCCTCCACTCATCTCCCTCTCTTCTGAAGTCCAATTCAACCATCATGTCAATGGTGTTTGAGTTCACCTCCTTCCATGATTCCAATTGTTTGCAGACTCTCTTCACCACAACTTCTCTATCATGGGAGACAGCTGCTTCTCTTTCTTCCTCAGAGATGAGATCTAGAACCAGTCTCTTCATGTCCTGTGGTAGCCTCCTTACATAAGAAAAGCCCAGCCTGCTTAGAATTTCTTTATCAAACCCATTTTCATTCTTCTCATTATTTGACAATACTGGTTCCTTGTCATCATCACATTCTTCATCAGTGAAGTTTTTGCTATCGTCATTCTCATCGTCATCATCTTCTTCTTCCATGAGACTTTTCTCAAGTTCAATGGGATCTAACTCAGCAAGCCTCTCGAATCTACGAAGCTTGTGCAATAGCTGTTGCTTGGCTTCTGTAAAGCAAAAAAGAAAACCCAATTAGACTATTATGTTCAGAAGAATTCAGAAATCCCAAATTAGCATCACATAAACTTATTTTAGATCAAGTATAAAACCATTGATCTAAGGTAAAAGGGTTAATGAAGTGTAAAGGATGCTTGGGCAGTAAATGTCATGAACTAGGAGCCACAAATGCACTTATTGGTAGTAATTATACAACTCTTGCAAGAACAACCGAAAACAAAGAGATAGAAAGTCCCAAGGACAGTTTGCACTGTACAGTTCTTGCACATTCACACATATTTGCTATTATAGGAGGCATATACAGTCCAACCAACTATATCATTTATGGCATCCACAAGATGAATGGGCGAAAGCCATCTTATAAAATTTTCAGTCTAGGAAAAGAGAAGAATAGCCCCCTTAAATGTGACTGAAACTGACAAAGCTCAATTCTACAACCCTTGATACAGAAACTGTGCCACACTGCTTTTGTTAAAAGATAATTTGCTGCTGCTGCACTGAAGTACTGTAGTCGACTCAAAAGTAATGAACCAATGTGCCCAGCATAAACTTCCTTTGCTCAGAAATGAACATAACTAAATAACCACAATCATCCATTCCAGAGATTAATAGAAAACAACCAATTAAATTTTTGTTGAAAATGACTGCACAACAAACAGAGAATGAGACAATCATAGAACTGTATATGCATTAGTACTTACTCTGTACAATGGCAAAGCTGTGTTCGAGTTCAAAACCTTCTCCCATCTCTTCATCCTGGTTTTTTCCATCATCATCGTCATCATTGTCGTCATCCTCACCAAAGAGAGGATCCAACACCGAAACGGGACTACATTGTTCCTTCTCTTCTTCATAGTCCTTCCCCACACAATTCAAGCTTCCTTCTTCACACCTTGAGACCTAATTACACACAAATTAGAGTCAATTAAGATGTTACCAAAGATGGGATTAGTGAAAAGCACAAAAAACTGAATTTGTCCTTGTTGCTTTGATAGAATGCCAACAAAAAATGCTGGATTCATGGTTCATTGACCATGTCTTTGGATGCTTTGATTTCTTATGTTTATTTTAAGCTCCTGCCAAATTCAATAATTTTTCTTTCAAAAATCCAACCTAACAAACAAAGACCCAATTTGTCGCTTTCTCCAAAGTTGTTTTGGAGACAAGAATTTTTTTAAAAGATTTCATGGCAGATTGGCAGGAACTTGATCAAAGTACAGTAATGGGAAAACAAATAATATATTTATCCTAATTGTGAGATGACATTTATACCCTCCAGATTTTACTTAAATTAATCTTCATTCACAACCTAATTTTCAGTACTAACAAAAACAAAGCCGGGATTATTATTATTGGCCGTCAACAGAGAATTCCGAACTAATTTGGTTATCAAGTGAGTTACGATTCACGAATCATGGATCACCCGGATCGTCTGCACCGAGTCCATTCAGTGAGAATGGAAGTTTTCTTCTAATTGTCAATTACCAGCAGTTATAATCCAAATTGAGGCATTGAGCCATATAAAAATTAAAAAATAATATTGTGTACGAATTACGTTCTTTCATTTTCTGTTGTTCGAAATTCGAATATCGTTTCAACTTTAATTTGAATTGGAACTCGGTAAGCGAGTCATATCCGAGTGACGATTTCAGACCTCGCCGGACACGTTATCAGCGCCAGCGGTCAAATAAAGCTGACAAATTTAGAGGCAATATATAAAAATAATAATAATAAGAGACAAACCTCTTTTCTGTGGCGACTCGGAGAGGTTGCCGGAGATTGAAATTCCGGCGTCCGGCGACTGGAAGACGGGCTCTTTGGAAGCATAAAGCGGAAGGAGCTAGAACAAAATGCCTTCTCGCACGAATTGCACTCCCCGTTCTTTCTCTCGTCGACGATGAACTCCATCGCTTCGGACGCTTCGGACCGGCTGCTGGTCGAGGTCTCCAAATCCTCGGATTTCTCTTCATTACTCTCAGACCAAGCACTGCTGAGTCTGGTATTACAGGAACATGAGAAACCCATTTCAGAGACCCTATTGTAATCCAAAACCTCCATTGGTTCTCGGTTTTCCAACCTATCATCATCTTGACATATTTTACGTCCATCAGACGAATCCCACCTCAAGATATCCTTGACAGAAACTCTGACCTCCTCTCCTTTTATCTCTCTCTTCCTGTTTCGCTTTCGGAGGGATATTCTCTTCAGAATCGATCCGAAGAATCCGAAACCTAAGCTCTTATTAGGGCTTTTGAACTTGGAAGAAGATGACTGCTTCTGAATCCGCAGAGCAGCCTCAAGGAGCACAGCTGCCGTCCTGGAAGGGATGTGAATGAAGAGGGTATTGGAGTTTCTACATGGGCTTTTCGCTGGGGAGGCGAAATCGAAGACAGGGGATCTTCGTACATCCGGAGAGTCGTGAAAAGAGAAAAAGCAGGCGCTTTTACATAAGCTTCCGGGAAAGCTCGAGTTTTCTGATATGGGTCTCCGCCTTTTAACCTGCAATTGGGTTCTGGGCGTCCATTTCTTCAGCTGGCAACGTCTCTCATCAATGTAGCTCTGCAGAGCAAAAGGCTCTTGATCTTCTCTCAATAGCTCGCGCAAATGCTTGTGAGCCATGACTAAGCTCAGCAACAGGAACAACGAAAAAGAAAAAAAAAAAAAAAAAAGAAAAAGGGTTGGGCAGACCAATTTCAAAAGCTTTCAAATGGCTTCGAGCTTTTGAGCTCCATCAAAGAGTTGAAGAGATTTCAACAGAAAACGTAGGTCTTAAGAGGGCTATTTTTAAGGTGAAAACTGGTGAAGAGAGAATGACAGAAACGGGTCTGAGCTAGTAGAGCACACGAGCAGAGAGACAGAGAAAGGAAGGAATGAGGAGACTTCGCGTTTGAAATCTGGATTTACGGTTCCGAGGCATGGAGGTAGTAAACAAATAATAAATGAAAATGTTGGCTTCGCCTTGAAGCTTTAGGCAGAAAGGTCTGAGAGTGTGATACTGTGAAGTGTGATCTGGAGGGTTCTTCTGTGTGTCTTCTCTCTCTCTCTCGATTGTCTCGCGCTCTGCTTGACTGTTTCTTTGTCTGCAAATAAAATCAAAAATCTAGCATCTCCCCAGATTTTTCTCATAATCAGGTTCGATTTCGATATTGCATGGACATTTTTGGACGCATTGGTTAATGATCATAATTCATAAACAGAGGAATAGCTTTTATACCTTCTTCATGCTTCTTCATCTGTTGTGCCCGGACCAATGATGACCAACTTCCCACTCAGCCGGGTCCTAGCTCTGGACGGGCCACCCAGCCAGCTCATCATGAAATCACAAATCTAATCTTGATCGTCCAATTAGTAAGATCCCTAATCAAGTGGGACCGGATGATTCATCATCATTCTGATAATCATCAAAATCGATCATCATGAGGATTATTGAGCACCCCTAATTTAATGACCATTATTTAACAAGAGAAAGAAAAAAGTAGGGTCAATTACAACTATTACCCTATAATTAGGGGTAGTTGCAATTAGCCTCCTTTGCTTTTATTTACAACAAAGACCTTCTTCAACTTTCATAACAAAGACCTCTCTTTTCTTTTTTATGTTGAATGAGGAAAAAGTTAGGCCCCGTCGTTGGATAGGGGTCTGGGTAGAATCAGAATCCCCATTTTTATTTTTGGTGGAATGGTATTATTCCATTTAAGGGAATCGTCATTTTCTTATAAATGAAATTTCATTCAACTTATTTTCATTTTCATTTTAATTTTTGTTTGACCAAAAAGACTATAGGAATAAATCATTATGATTATGATTTTAGAGGATTTCGATTTCGATTGGATTGTAAATCAAACAGATCAACGTTCAAAATTTTGTCATGTATTAACCTTTTTCGATGGATATGTAGTGGGTCACTGATACATTATATGGGTCTTTCATACTTTTAAACTATTTCAAGGGTAGACAAGTCTAAAACGTACCCCTGACCTATTTTTGAAAAAAAAAAAAAAAACTAAAACAAAAAGTGGCCACATGGATTAAAGAACCAATACACCCATACATCCGTTGTGCCATATTGAGGTGTTTCAATACTTGGATTGCAATAAATATAACATGTGATTTCCCTTTTCTTACTAGTAATTAAGTACGTAGAAAATTTTCATATTAATTACTTTAATTTTAGATATATTATAATTAAAATAAAATTTGAAAATTAGCAAAAATAACAATATGATTAAAAATAAATTCAAATGTTTGTAGTAAATGTGCATGTTATTGTATGTGGAAATTTTAAATTGCAATAACAATTATTATTACTGTTATTATTATTAGTAAAGTTTGTATTCCATTTTTTTCATAAATAAAAAAATTATTTTAACAATTATTTTTATTTATTATGATGAAAATATAAAATTATAAATGTTCCAAAATGGGACAAAATTTTGTACTTTTTTATTGTTTGTGTTGTATCTTTTTTTTTAAATATTTATTGTCCAATTATGACATCATGAGTTTCTTTGAAAAGTTGGACCATTGACTCACCATCTAGATAAGAAAATAGCTTTACTTTCGGATTTGTTTTAAATTATATATCATCGACGTTATATAAATAATTTTTACTCATCATACTTAATTTTTGTTTGACTAAATTAATATATAATTTTTTGTGTATTCTTTTTGTTATTTGTACTTTTTATTTTTAAAAGATTTATTATTTAACTATCATATCATCGATTAATCCATTTCACCCAAATCACTAACCCACAACCCAAAAAGGAAAATAATTTGATTTCTAGGTTGACACTAAATTTTATATTACATTTCCATCATTACTAATGAAGGTATAACATTAGAGATTTACCCAATACTTATTTTTATGAATATATAACAATAGATATGTGCCCAAATTTTTTTCTATTTTTAAAATTTTTTTATTTGACCATGACATCATTTCATTTATAGGTTGATTTTAACTTTGGAATTCCATCTTTATCATTAATAAAATTACTTCTTACATTTCATACATATTTTTGTTTAGTATAATGAATATGCGATATTAGAAATATGTCCAATTCTTTTTATTTGTTTTATTTTTTGTATTATGTATTTTATATATTTTAATTTTTTTATTATTTAATCGGCATTATATATTAACCTATTTGACCCAAAATGGTTGAATTGCTTAACCACCATTGAGAGGGAATAAAATAGTTTTGTTTTCAAATTACTTTTCAAAAGATTTATTTTATAATATTAAAATTAATTTTGTGGATTTAATAAGAGATTATACCTTAATATGAGATTTAATGAGAGAGAATAGGAAAATAGTTTTATTTCTAATTGGTTTTAAATTTTACATTCCATTTCCATCATTAATAAAAATATTTCTTATTTATCATACTTGTTATTGTTTAATATGTCGAATATATTATATTAAAAATGTTTCCAAATTTTTTTAATTTTTATATTTTTTGCATTTCATCTATTTTAAATTTTATTATTTAATTGTGACAACATGGATTGATCCATTTGACCTGAAATGGTTTAATTTCTGACCACTGTCTAGGTGAAAACACTATTTTTTCAGGTAAATTTTAAAAATATGTTTTTATATTATTGGAATTATTAATTTATTATGTATGAATTTAATTAATAAAATTTAATGATGAGAAGAAATAAAAATGCCTTAAATATATGATTCAATGATGGTGAATGCAAATTAATACCTTAATGCTGAGTTTGAAAGCAATACATATGCAAATATGTAGAGTGCAATACCTTATATTTTATATTATTTTGTATGTATTTACGCTATACATATTTGCATTTGTACTCTTTCCAAACTGAGCCTATGTGTTGGATTTAATGAGAAGAAATTGAATGCATTGAATATCTTATAATTGTCTCTTTTCATCTTATTTAATATTAATAATTGATTACCCTTTTGCCCTCATTTCTTATCAATAAATTTTAATATCAAAGGGTAAATTTTGTCCTCAAAAATTTCTAGAAATATTAATAAGGCTAGCTATTCATACTTTTAAAGAGTATTTGGTGATACAACTATTATAACTTTCCTCACTTAAAGATAGTGGTTGTGTGAATTAAATTCACACCTATGCTGGAGAAACCAACTAAGCCAACCCTTAATTGGTGGGAATTGAAAAGTTAAATTGAAGCCCACGACTTATTTTAAAAAATCACTGAAAAACAAAGGATAACTTAAGAATTTAGAAAGATTTAAACAATGGCATGCGAATGTTTTTCAAAGTTAACTGATACAATGCTTACGAAAGGGATCTTTGTTAAAATAGAGAGTTTAAAGGGTCTTCATCACAAACTCACAAAGTACAACCTCACAGGTAATAATCTAAGGGTAAATTTCTTAAACTACCCCTATAATTTAGCTAATTGACTAAGTGTACCCTTACTGATTGAAAATTGACTAACATTACCCCTACTATTTCTGACAATTAACCAACTCTACCCTTATCATTAACATCTGTTAATATTCTGTTAAAACCTGTACACACGTGACATCACGTGACGTTTAAACTATTTTAAAACCCAATACTACCCTTGTCCCCTTTCTCTCGACCTAGCACACCCTTCCTCCTCTATCCTCTCTCTCTTCCCTCTATCTTCCTCCCATAGTCTCCATCAATACCAGATCACCAGAGAGAATTGCATCGTATCCGCATCGAACAAAACCACAGTCTCAGACATTAAGCATTGACTTTGTCTTGTGTATTGAGATGCTGCACTCATGCAATCACTTTGCACATGGGATGAGAAAGACGAATCGCCAGTGTGCTACACCTGACAAAATTTGGGAAGCTCATTTGAAATTGAAGGATGAAAGAAAATTCCAAGATATGGTATATTCCTTCGACCTAATGCATCCTTATGTTTATGAACCATCTCTAAAATCATTCTCTGAACTTCACTTGCAATGTGTTGTCGAGAGGGTTCAAGCACACAAAGAGCACTTCATCCTCTTTCTTCTTCAACAGTGGGGTGCTCTATTGAAGAAGTAGAGAACGAGTGAGGCGGCGGCAATTGAAGTGGTATGAGCGAACTGAATAGGGGTGACGACGGTGGAAGTCCGATCTTTCTCTCTCTCTCTCTCTTCTTCCTCTAGGCGGTGGTGGCGGAAACCCCTCTAAAGTCCAATCTTTCTTTCTCTCTCTTCTTCCTCTAGGCGACGACAGCGGCAACAACCCCTCTAAAGTCCGATCTCTCTTTCTCTCTCTCTCTTCTTCCTCTGGGTGATGGCGGCGGTAACCCCCTCTGAAGTCCGATCTTTCTCTCTTTCTTCTTCCTCTGGGTGACGATGGCGGTAGCCCCTCTAAAGTCTGATCTTTCTCTCTCTCTCTTCTTTCTCTTGGCAACAACGACGGCAACCCCTCTGAAGTTCGACCTTTATTTCTCTTTCTCTCTTCTTCCTATGGGTGACGGCAACAACATTCGCCTCTGAACTCCAATCTCTCTCTCTTCTTCCTCTGGCCGATGGCAGCATCATTGCCTTATAACTCCACTCAACAGTGGGAGTTATAGGGTTGTCTTAGAGCTCTGTATTTTTTAAGCCGCAGGGCAATTTAGGCATTTTGCATGAGTTTTGATGGAAGTTAACGATAAGAATAGAGTTAATCAATTGTGAGAAATAATAGGGGTAGCCTCAGTTAATTTTCAAATAGTAAAAGTATAGTTAGTCAATTGGCTAAACATAAGCTAGTTTAAAAATTTTTATTTTATTAAAAAAGAAATAAAAACAGAAATTCACAATTTCACACCACTCACATACAAAACACATAACTCAAACTCCCACGATTCCTCCACAAAAGCGTTGACGGTCTTAATTACCTTCAGGCCCCAGCTGATTTTTTTTTTTAATGAGCTCAATTTGTCGCGATAAATAGAAAGACGGATCGGGGTTGGGACCGTCTCGGCGGCACTAGAGCCGAAACGGGAAGGAAGCGGACAAAAGGGAGGTCCGCGCGTGCCGACGATTCCCGATCCCGACACGCGCGAAATCGAGGATCCCTATTAGGCTATTACCAGCTCACGTTAGGGTTTTCATGGGTTCCACAGTGGGAGCGCGCTACAAACCACTCCGGTCCGGTTTATAGAGCGCGCTCTCCCTTTTGTCACCCGCAATGCGTCCACCGGCTCGT